CTTCTTGATGATCTCCACGCGCATGTCCGGGTTCTCGACGCTCTTGATGCGGTGGCCGATGCCCATGATGAGCTTGCCCTCGCGCTTGCAGTCGTCGACGAACTGCTTGCCCGACATGCCCCGGTCGCACGCGTCCGTCATCATCGTCGCCGCGCCGTCCAGCGCGCCCCCGAAGCGCGGGCCGATGGTCAGCAGGCCCGACACGAGGCTCGACACGAGGTCCTTGCCCGCGCGCGTGGACACGATCGTGTTGTGCCTGGGCGGGAAAAGAGTGCGACATTCCCAACTTCAAAGGCTCCTCTCTCGGTCATGTTCCACTCGTTTCGGCGCATTCTTGGACGAGCGATGATCTCTCGGAGCGCCCTCGAAGCGTGGATCCTTTCTCTGGAACGATCGCGCGCGGAACCCTCACGTTGAAGCGACGTTGAATCACTCTGTTCCCGCGCCGCGTCGCGCGCGCCGGACACCGCGGGCCCGTGGTCCGCGGTGACCATGAGGATCATCTCCTGTGTGGAAATCAAATCTTCAACCCGACTTCAATGTGCGCGTATGCGACCGTTTCGACGCAAGGCTTTCTGCTGTGCTTCGAGAACTCGACGAGAGCAATCGATCCGTCCAAAAATCAGCCGAATCGACTTCGATTTGTGACCGAGATAGAGAGTTCTGAAGTTTGGTCAGGACCCCCTGAACCAGTGGTTGGTTTCCACACTGATCATCTCGATGAACTTGGTCGCGTAGGGCGGCAGCCGCTTCTTGAACCAGAGCAGGGACAGGACGCCGCCGACGCCCAGGTCCTCCTTGAAGACGTCGCTGATGCGCATGCCGCCGTAGGTCAGCTCCTCGCCGCGGTCGTCGCTGATCGTCGAGATGAAGTTCGCGGGCTTCCGGACCATGCCCAGGCGCTTCGCCCAGGTGTAGTCCATGGGCACCTTTGGCACCTCGGGCTCGGGCCTGGGCACGATGGTGCCCCGGTCCACGAGGAGCGCGTAGACCTCGCTCAGCCGCGCGCCGAACTCCGCGAACGACCGCGGCACGACGGCGCCCGCCTTCGCGAGCGCCGCGTTCTTGTCGACGGCGGCCTCGCCTAAACCCCGCGCGCAGGCGCCCGCGTGGCCGAACTGGACCTCGAAGCTGAAGGCCGACGCGCAGGTGCCGATGCACCAGGCCACCAAGGGCTTGTCGATGCGGCCGCTCTCGAGCGCCGCGCAGACGTCGTACTCGTCGACGCCGCCGACCTCGCCCAGGAGCACTAAAATCTGGCAGTCCGGGTTGTCGTTGTAGCGCAGCAGGTGGTCGATGAAGCGGCTCCCCGGGTAGCGGTCGCCGCCGATGGCGACGCCCTCGCAGACGCCGTCGGACGACCGCGCGATGATGTTGTTGAGCTCGTTCGACATGCCGCCGCTCTTCGACACGTAGCAGACGGAGCCGGGCCGGTAGAGCTTGGACATGACGATGTTGTCGAGCATGCCGCCCGTGTTGCCGATGCGGAAGCAGCCCGGCTTGATGCCGCCGACGGTCGCGGGGCCGACGAGGCCGACGCCGGCCTCCTCGGCCGCGGCCGCGATGTCGCGCGTCTGCGCCTCGGGCACGCCCTCGGCGATGATGGCCACGGTGCGGATCTGGGCGCTCAGCTTGAAGGTCTCCATGCACGTGTCGTAGACGGACCGGTAACTCGCGAAGTTGACGAGGCAGCTCGCGTCCCCGTGCTTCGACGCGGCCTCCGCGATGGACGTGTAGACGGGCACCAGGGTCTCCTCCGTGCCCCAGTAGAACTTGACGTAGTGGTTCCCCTGGAACGGGTAGACCATG